CATTGCTATTGGGGTGATAACCATAGCCTACCTTGTGGATCATTCTGATGAAATCCAGCCATCATCTATTTCAGATTTTTCATGTCTGTCAGGAAGTTCTATGAGGCAGTGACTTCAAAGATGCTGGCAAAGTTTCCTTTTAAGGACCCTGTGGTTTCCAGCCTAAGGTTCCTTAACCCTGCAATCAGAGGAGACTTGCCACCATCTTTTTTGACAGACCTGGCCAAAAGATTTCCTTCCTTGGTGCCCCATGACCAGTGGGTGAAAATAGAGGAGGAGTTCCTGGACTTCCAGACCACTCCCAGTTTCTCTCAGGATACCAGGACTAACGTTTTCTGGGGCAAAGTATTAGCATTGAGGAACAAAATCACCAATACCCCAAGGTTTCTACTGATGTCTAGGATAGTGAGGGCACTGATGGCAATCCCCAATTCTAATGCTGAAAGGATTTTTTCAATGGTGAAGAAGATTCAAACAGACATTAGGCTACATTCTGTGAAAGTGAACAATACCTACATCCTCAAGTCTTCAAAGAACCTCCTCAGAACAGCAAAGAAGGCCTGTTTTGGTTACAACAAGAACTGTTCATCTTCACCTTAGTATTCCCTTTCATTGAAAAATTGTGCGTCTGTGATTTATGTCCTCAGTAGATTTACAAATTGTCTAATTTACCAACAGTAGCAGAACTCAAATAACTTGCTTTAGCTTCTTTGTAAATAATTTTTAACTATGACATCTTCATTCATGTGATATGTATAACTTATTGCCCAGGGCAGGAAGGTGTTATGTCAATCTCTATATTAACCCATTGTGCACGCGATACGACCTCAGTCGTAGTCTACCTTTTCACGCGGGATACTACTGGCGTCGTAGTAAACATACCCTCTCATTTGAACACTTGGAAAATCTCTATATGAATGCGTTTGAATAAAACTTTTGTAGGGGTAAGATTACAGTAGATTTCTACTGCTCATGACCAATTAAAAATGAAACTAGATACTTATTCATGAGGGAAAATCCCAGAGAGAAACAAAGAAAACCATGCGTTTAAGTTTACACAGAATCAAAATGGCGGTGAGAGATGCGGAGTTAAGTGAAGGTAGCGATATAGAGGCAGATTATGTAGAGGAAGACGATGAAATGGATCTAGATGGTGAAAATATTGATAGATTAGATCGAGAAGTTCATTTAGGTGACCAAGATGACTGGATTTTAAATTTATTTGAGGAGGATTCGGACGACGACGCAGATTTCCTTGGCTTTCAAAATACATGGATGAAGGAAGATTTTCAGCCACATATCCAACAACGCTACAAAAAGGTAGGGGGTGCCACAGTTGAACACCCAGAGGAAGCAGGGGCCGGCCAATATTTTGGACTCATTTGGGACAACGAAATGTGGACCACTCTTGTGCGTGAGACCAACTTATATGCTGAACAGGAGAGAGAGAAAAACCCACTCCCACCATATGCTGCAAAGTGGACCCCTGTCGAAGTATTTGATTTGAAGGCCTTTATAGGTCTGTGCTTTGCCATGGGAATTATGCGTATGCCTACAAAAATGACTATTGGAGACAGACAAAGTGGCTGTTGACAACATCATTTGGGAGAATTATGCCCACCCTTGCGAGATGATATTCATGACTTAAAGAACTTTTATGAGTTGTTCATCATTGTTCATGAATGCTCATAAAAGATTCATAATAGTTTCATAAAAGTAGTTCATGAATATAATTCATGAACACATTCATACTGAAAAAAATTTATACTTCATGAACAATGATGAACCTTTATGAAATTCGAAAATCTTCAACATTACACAGCAACACGTTTCATGATTATTCATGACTCAATACAATTTAAATTCGATAATGATTCAAATTTATTGATATTGAATTTTAAGTACAATTTTAATTAACTGAGTGTTCTCCATTGGTAATTGCTTAACAATACATGTATTACAATACTGTTCAATGTTGAAATGGAAAGACTAAATAGACAGAAAAGCTTGTTGGATTTTTTTAACATCATTATAGACTATCAGTAATAAGTTGCAAATCAGGGAATTTACGTAAATTTACATCTTAAAATGCAAAAGATGTATACAATTGTGGTACATACACATTAACATGAATTGTATTTTCTCATGTCCATCTAAGAAATACATGAATCATCAATGTTTTCAAGTAATGATAACCATCACTCACAGTCCAGTATGTTACAAAAAAAAAGCAAACTATTTGATCCCTAAAACTTATAATTTAAAAAAAGCCTCCATGCCTATTGCAACATTTTTGTTCATGGGCATAAATGGTTCTAAAATTTACAACATATATATTTATTTTTTTTATAAGGTAACATCTTAAAGTAGAAAATAAAAATTGTGAGGTTAATAAACATGTTGCCGATCATCTGAAAAGATATCATATTAGTCTTGTCTATGATGTCAGTTTCAAATTGTGTGCTTGCATGAGAAGATCCAAAACTTGGTTCCATAAGAATCATACTCCTGTCAATTCTCCTTCACTGATAAACATAACTGATTCTTGCCGCTGATTCTTCAGTCTTTTGGGATATTTCAGTTCTAGTTGTTTCTTTGTTAGACCTGTAAAAATTGTACGCTCTTAGTGAAAGTTATTTTTAAATGAATAAACATTGACAAAAAACAAAACAAAAACAAACAAAACATTCAGCAACTATCTGCATAGTTTCAAAGTAGGTAATCTATACGTCTAGTATGCCTGTGATGACTTAACTTTCAATTTTTGTGAATAATTTTGATGTATAAATAGAAACACAATCGTTTTCCCTGAATTCAATAAGCTAGATAATTAAAAAAAAATTAAGTTTAAATACTTTATAAAAATATTTCCACATAATATCGGTACTTTTAGCCTACTAAATAATCTGTGAGGACACGGATTGTGTCAAACTCTGTCAACTAACAACACTGTATACATAATTTTAAATCGTATTTTATCTCCCTCTTGTTTCATTCTTGAGAAAAAAGCAAATGCCTTGCCAATCTCATTTTGAAATTCGAAGAAACGAAACAATAAATAGGGCCATAAAAATATAATTAACTTAAGAACATATGAAACAACAACCTTGCAGCTTGCAGGTTGTGCACACGATATCCTCCCCCGATTGTAACATGTATAAAACAGATGAAAACTTACTCGTGTTGTGAGCTGATGAATGCAGGCGGAACAGTGCTGGTCTTTCTGTGGATGTTGTTTGGATGGTGTACATTTAAAATATAACCTCCAATGCAGTCTATATTGTAAATTCTCAAGTTTACAAACTTCTATCGCCCACCGAAAAACAAAAAGGCCGCCATCTTTTTAGCGGGTGGCGAGGCAATTCGTATCAATAATTTTTCACACCCTTTTTATTCAAAGATTTTTTAAAAGTTTGTAGAAACGTTGGTATAAATATAATAAAAAAAGTAAAACTTTATTTGATAGTACCTGTCCACGATTAACTAGGCCTATTTATATACCATTTTTTATCAAGGTACCCCAAACAAGAATACTTTGGCGGCCAATTAATATTACGGGTATGATTTGAATCGCAACCTCAATCGTTTTTAGAAAACGTCGTTTGATTGGATGCTCCTGGTAGCTGATTTATAACATCATTACTGATTAGTTAAGCAGTTACGCGAGCGCCAAATTTTCAATAGATTGAAAGGAAGGAAGATGTGCATTGCATTGTCAGAAGATTGTCGATAGATCTAGATTCTGTCAACATTTTTTTAATGGAGTGTTAACTATTATATTCATCGAAAGGAAGGACTGCAATACAGAAAGCATGTGGTAAGAACATAATTCTTTAATTATTTTGGTTCCAAATTTGTTGATTAGCACACTTGTTGCACGCAATGGCCAAACAAACGTGATTTTCAAAAAAAAATATCTCGGAGAGAAATATGATTTCAGTTATTGTTAAATGATCATTATATACATGTATATGTAATTTCAGGGAGAGTGAAATGAAAAAAAGGCCTATTGTAAAAGAGCTAGAAAAAAAACCATGTCATGATTTAAAGGATGGATTTCAATTTTGGATGAATTAGTGAGTGATCCAGCAGACACCCATAGAGAAAAATTCATTTTTGGAATGTCAAGAAGCAAAGTTGACAGGGATAACAAATGCACCACAGGCATCTGACTTACTTGAACGTGCCATAAGAAGAACACAAGCGTTGTTTAAGATTCTGATATTGATCCAGGCTGTACATGTAATTGTTTAAGAGTGTGTTGACTAAAAGCTGTATACATTTATAAATTCAATGAATTTAATACATAGCATTTAGTTTAGAATATTGTAGTCATTATTTATATATTATCAAATTTTTAAATAGAATGTTTATGTACATGTATTTTGAGGGTACTCACAGTGGTTTTGCCAATTTGGCCTTCTGTCAAATTACGTAATTCAAGAATAATATTCTTAAAAAGTTCCTGAAATGTTCATGAAAGATCTAATGAAGCTAAAATTCACAGGACACTATGATTTCATGAATTCTATAAGGAAGTTCATGAATTTTCAAGAGTAGTAAGTAATTCATGAACAACCCACAATTCTTGAATATTCTTGAACTTGGTTTTCATGAATAAAATTCATGAAATCATGAGTGTCCAATTTTAACTTCATAGGATCTTCATGAATAATTCATGAGCAGATTCAAGAAAATATTTCATGAACTTTTCTTAAAAGTTCAAGAATTATTCTTGATACTCTCGCAGGGGCAGAGACCACTTTACGCAAATATGGAGATACCTACATTTACAAAACAACGAGAATCGACCAAATAAACCAAACAAACTTTGGAAGGTACGATGGTTTATTACTTTCTTGAATAATAAATTCCAAGAACTGTATATTCCCTATGGAAATGTCACCATAGATGAAAGTATGATAAAGTACAAGGGGCGTCTGGGATCCCGTCAGTACCTGCCAGCCAAGCCGATAAAATAGGGCATAAAGCTGTGGACCATGGCCGAAAGCGATATTGGATATATGCATGCCTTTCAAGTCTATACTGGCAAAGAATTTGGACAACAAGAGAAAGGACTGGCCTACAGAGTTGTAATGGACTTATGTAGACCAATGTTTGGAAGCAATTTATGTGTTTACATGGACAATTTCTACACAAGTGCTGACCTTTTACGAGATCTTCATATCAGAGGTATATATGCTTGTGGAACTGTACGGTCAAATTGGAAAAGCCTACCCAAAGACTTGCTGCCAAAGCAAGTTAAATTACAAAAACACCAATACAAAGTGGCTCAAAATGATGAACTAACATTCTGTATTTGGCAGGACACAAAGGCTGTGCTTGTTCTCTCCAACTTCCATGACCCACTTCATGTCGGCCAAGTAAACCGCAGGACAGGAGCTGATCAAAATGCTGTGGAAGTTCCCAAGCAGCTTGCAGATTACCAAAAGTACATGAAAGGGGTAGATACCTGCGACCAAATGATTGGCTACTATCTGCTACACCACCGGTCAAGGAAATGGTGGAGACGGCTGTTCTTCTACCTGATGATGGTGTCAGCCCACAATTCCTATATCATCGTGAAGGACGTACATCCTGAAGTAGCCAAGGAATGCTGGCCAAAATTCCAGGACTACATAGAGGATCTGTTGGAGGATCTAATTGGAGACACACGTGCAAACAGAGAACCTCCCAAAGTTGATTGTGGTGGACGAGCAACAGAGCATTCACTTGAACAGTTGTATGTAAAAAACAAAGTGTGCCGTGAGTGCTCCCTTTCTGGAGTTCCTGGACAAAGGAAAGGTGTCACAAAAATGGGATGCAGACAGTGTAATACACCTGTTCATTTGGCTTGTCAGTCAAAACACATAATGAGAATGTTGCAGTAGTAATGACATGAAAGTGTGAAATTCCGTGAACTCCCATATATGGGAAATTTCTGCAGACATTTTAAAGTTTAAAAGTTTTCAAATTATGAAATGTGTCGAGTATTTCTTCAAAATTCAAGTTTGTTCTTCTCAAAATGTTTTCATCATGGACTGTGTATCAAAAAAACTCTGGAAACTCCATAACTATCAGGTATGAAGCAGTTGATAATGTTGAATTATTTTGTCAGTTTACCTGGTAATATTCAAACACAAATATCTTTTGTTCTAGTTGGAATATTTTTATTATGTAAAGTGCATCTGAAAGAAAAAGAATTATTGTTAAATATGCTATAAAGATTTTATATGGTTTACATTACAATTTCATGAGAAAAAATGGAATGAATTAAAACATAGATGTTTTCTCAAGTTTTGTTTATTTATTTTGTGAAGATTTATCTACTATTAATGGGTGTTAAATTCCACTTAGCTGTTTGAAAATTATATTGCTGCAAAGAAAAAAGTATAAGCTTTCAGAAAATGTACACTTTTATCTACATTGCTTTAGTAATTAAAGAGCCATTAGCATAATTATCTACTGGCATCTGTCTGCCCAGCTTATCTGGTCAGCAAGAGACTGACCACTCGATATACTGATAAGAGCAGCTGAGTTGGATGCCGTGCACAATGGGTTAAATAACTGTTGATTTGAAAAATAAACTTTTTTAAATTTCAAATTGTCTTTTTGTTGATGTTGATAGAGAAGAAAACACTTTAATAAGAGGTATAGTGATAATACATGATTCATTGTGAATTAGATTGATATTTAAAAAGGACAGATATTTACATGACAAAATGCCATGAACTACCATTTGGGTCTAAAGAGTCTCCAGGTATTTTTCATTGTCTCTCCCAAGCAGTTTGTAGAAAGATAGACTGCAGGGGCTACATTTTCATTTGCAAGAAGTCTAAATAGGAATGCTCACAAGCTCGGTCAACATTAATACATCTCTTGAGGAAGCTCGTTTTTTTTAATTCACTTGAAAAAAGTAGTTGACCCTTTTCAAGTTTTAATTTTTCTAGGCAGAGAAATCAGTAGTATCAATATGGAACGTAGACTGCACATGTGCAAATTAGCTGAACTTCGCAATGAGCTAAATCTCTTTAAAAGCACAAGTGCACCTCTAATCATCGACTGTAATCCCTAGCTGGGAAACTAAATTTGGCCACATCAGTGGTTTACAATGGAAGAGTGTTCCTATCACACATTATCAACACTTTTATTGGCCTCAAGCACAAATCTCACAAGATACACTTGTCTGGGGAGGTATTCCAGGATATGTCCTGGTGGTGCCAATTCCTTGAAACATTCAATGGGAAATCCGTACTCCTTCAGAGTAAACCATATCAATGGTTTACAATGAAACCTGTTCAGTAGGTGCAAGGGGTTCTTGGAACCAAGACTGGTTCTACTGCACCTCAGAAATGGATTTCCCACCTGCAGTGTCTATACATATCAATGAAAAAGAATTCAGGTTCATTTATGTAATATTAGTTTATACACAATATTTGTACTGTGCTACTTGTGTGGAGATTTAGCTATGCGAATGTTTACATATGCAAATGAACGTGTCACGTGATCTTTGTCTTTAACCAGCCATTGGAAATTTACTGACCAGAGGCAGCATCAGTTTCAGAGAAATTATGTGTTAATTTTTCCCTTATTATTATTTTATTCAACATAACAAACTGACAGTGGATCGTTTCGGAGATCATTTGTGATTTTACTTACCATGTGATTTTGCACGTGTTTTTCTGACAATTTGTTTGTAAACATTGTGATCATGGGACCAGTGAGGAATCAACGTAGCAATCTTAGACAGACTGTGGTTTACGATATGAACAATCCTTATAATTGGACTGCAAATAAAATTCGAGATGAATTGAGGAAACAGGGCATAACTGTGCCTATTACATGCAGAAAATTGGAGTTATTACGATTATATCATACAAGTAATGCTAATGGAACAGCCAGGTTCTGAATGGCGGGAAATCGAACCAGAAGAGAGAAATGTAAACAAAGATGGCGGAGAACTGGCAGTTGTTCTACAAGAACTTGCGAAATTACGACATGAAGTAAACGACATTAAACGAGCGCAGATCCAGCAAGTTACAACAACTACTGTTGATAGTGTTAATCAAGCAACATCATCTGTTCCTCCAAGTACTACTTCATCAGTTAATACGTTGTCTACAGCCTATGGAGCGTTCAATGGCATCACCATATCGCCATCCAACAACCATGTAAGAATGAAATACGGATTCAGTCTTGAATATCTGCCCTACATGGAGACTGTACAGCCTAAAATTAGACAATCCAAAGTAGGAGGGAAGGACATAAACTTAGCTACCCTTATTATGCCCCCTCTGACATCACAATTGGATGATTCTAAAGAAAAAGATAAATGTGATCCTTGTCTGAACAGAAAATGCTATCCACTGAGGAATTTATCACAGCTTTTGGCATTTACAAGAATATCATGTGCGATCAATTCCCTCAGAAGCGTGCAGAGCTAGACATTTATGAAAGAGACATGTCGACCAGATATGGGGATACTGCTTTCTATGAATATCACAAGCAATTCAGTGCAAGAGCAGCTGCCCATCTCAAATACAGCAACATACCAATAGATTGGTCAATCAGAGACAATACACTGTTTTGTAACATATTTGCCAATCAGCAATCTATCACTTGCAGCAAATGTTCTAGTGTATCTCATAACAGGATTTTGTCCTTTAGTGACCAACTTCAGTAATAATGCATCATCCACCTTCCAAAGATCTGACAACAGCAATTCCAATATAGACACATATGGAAGAGTTCGACAACGATATGCAGGTATTGAGATTTATAATAATTTCAATGGTCAGGAGAAAAAGGATGCATACGACCTCAATGTAACAGGGTTCTCCACATTTGAAAATTTAACCATGGAGGAAGCTGCGTGAAGGCGAAATGTGACCGAAAACACGAATGCATGTTAGACTTCCTAACCTTCATTAATCAATGATTGGTTTCACAAAACTTACCCACTGCAACACAAAATGTTGAAATAACCAATATTTTTTAAAGCTAAAAAATACAAAAAAAAAATAAATAAATAAATAAAAGAGAGTATGTATCTTACTTTACAAATGTTTACCAAAATTGGCCATAAACTATAGGAACATTTTGAAGGAATTTCAAAAAAATATTTTGATAGAGTATTACCATGGCAACATTATTCAAACTGATATACAGAATTGGTGTTGCCTGTTGTATGAAACATTTTAATTTAATATGACTAAAACTGATGAATGCGTAGTATTTTGAAAAAAAAATTAACAGATATATAAACAAACAGACGAACGAACACCGACATCCTATCAATTAATGTCCTAAGTTTTTTTTAACTACATGGTCTATGAAAACTTAACTGATGGCATGCATGGTAATTTAAGTAACTTAATATAACCAAGGGCGTCTATTTGATATAACTGTAATTTTGCTTTCTCTATTCTGTTTTTTTCTAAACGTTCTTTTTTTACATCTTGCATTTTCGCCTAGTTTCCTTCATTGTTTACTTCTCCACGTGCCCAAGTGCTAAAAATAGCACCACGCGACGTTTCATAAAAATGGGAGGTAACTCTAAAACTAAGACGACGATTGGCACTTGTGTACATTTTATCAGAAAGATAATAAAATTAATACTGAAAAACCAAGCATGAGAAATTGATTAAATACAAAGAATAGGAAATGCTGAAAGGGTTTTTTTTTCTGGGCGCAGAAACTTGAATCAGTTGCTTGTCCATTATCATGTTGTTACTGCTCGTTATGTCATCTTTTGTAAATTTGTTATCGTACAGTGAACACGTTGGAATTCCCCGAAATTACGTGTACAGGATAATTAACTCTCAAAATATTGATCGTCAGCTGATTGACTCTCCATTGTCACGCTTCACAGCATAGTTGCCGATCAACTACCATGTTTCTTTAGCACAGTCCACTTTCTCTCGAGGTATGCGAGGTGCATGGCAGTCGTAGTATAAACACAATTAACTACTCAAGTCATTAAAAAGTAAGTGTCAAAACTGAAATGCAATAAAAATTTAATCATGGCGGCCGCCGATTTTAACCATGGCGCAGCTCGTTTAACCATGGCGCACATAAATTTAACCATGGCAGGCCGCCATGGTAAAACCCCTTGTGGAGAACCCTGATGTAATAATCTTCATGTGCGTCTTCAGTGCAAACAAGATCACCCAAGGACAAGATGCCCAGAATCAAAAAAACATGAAACTCCCCCCCCCCCCCCCCAAATCAACAAAAAGGGGGGGGGGGGGGAGAGAAATGATGTATCATTTGTTAAAACAATCAGTCCTATTGGAATTGCAGAAGGCAAATATTCAAAGAAGAAACGTTTAATTGTGGACTTGCCTGCACCACACCAGAATATGGACATCAAATGTTTAAATGAATTAATAGACAAAGATGAATTTTCTTTACAATACGTAACAATAGATCATACATTCAAAATTATTAAGAACAAAGGACAAGGAAGTTGGTTGTGTAAGACTGATATAAGTGATGCATTTAAACTTATACCACTTCATCCATCTTTATGGCCACACCATGGAGTATGGCAAGGGCAGTACTATTTCTACAATTGCTTAGTTTTCGGAAGTCGATCCAGTACAAAAATTTTTGACACATTGTCTACAGCTATCTGTTGGATTGCCCAAAACATTTTCTAAGTAGAAAATATTCTACATCTGTTAGATGATTTCCTTACGATTGATGCACCGAATGAAGAAGCAGACAGGACCATGACTCTACTGACCATAATTTTCAATAAATTAAACATTCCACTAGCAATACCAGGTTTCAGTTTCAGAATGTTATTTTTTAAGATTTGTTGATTTTCATAGAAATGTAAAATAAATCTTGATGGGAATTTTCAGAAAATCTCTGTTCTTTTAGGGAT